AAAGTTTAAAAAATTAACATTAACTGATACTGCGGCTTACAATCCAGTGCGGCTTATGGTCGTGAAAATACGGTAATTTGAAACTAGCAAAATCTTTGTAATTATTTTAAAATCTATATGTTACCCAACATCAAACAACTGAGGGCAGTTCACTAAAAACAAGACAAAATAAACAAAATAAACAAAAATGAAGACTATGACAAAGTTGATAAAAAAGATAGTAATTTTAAAAATGAACCCACAATATACAAGGGCTTCACTCACTATCACCAAAGATAGCTGGCTCCCAAAACCAAGAAAGATATGTGAATTACTTCTGAGTAACTTCCTTTATTTTTCCTCAACTGTAGACAAAAATCTAACAAATATTCTTTCCCAAATCTAGATTAAGGAGTTTGAAAATCCTTTAAAATAGGTTTTCAAAGAAACATTTAAGTAATATTAAAATAATGTAACACTGTGAAGTTTCAGTATATTAAAAATTACCTGAGGATGCTTAACTCTCCCTCCAATCCAAATTTTGCAGCAATACCAATAGCCCCTACAAGAATTCCTTCTTCAATATGACATAGTATCTCAAGATTTACACTAAGTTATAGTTTAGGCTTACAAAGTCCAAAGGAAAGATGAGTTAAAAAAGAACAGGATGGCTACACAAAGTGACCCTCTGAATCCTCTGCTTGAAACCCTGTGGTAAGCTGGTTCATTTCAGCAACTATTACAAATGGAAATGCTTTCACTGCCCCTAAGAAAAAGTCCTGAAATTGAAAGTCTTCAAGAAACCCTAATCTTTCACACAGGAAACATTTGAAAATACAATATATATATATAATAATTATGAAATGTCTGATTCCACTAAATATAAGCACTGTTTTTAAAAAAAGATTAGACTCAGTTCAGTAGAAGTGCGATGCTTCTATTAAATCAGAAAAGACCAAAATTGTTACGCTTAGATATATTGGAGTTTTTGTTGTTGTTTGATAGTTTGCTAAATTTTACCTGATATGCATTTACTTGATATACATTTGTTGTAATTGAAATAAGGTATATTCTCTTTGGGATTTGTTAGGAATTCTGTTTTATCTGATATAAACCTACCTTTTTATCATATACATCTTGCCAATTTATTCCAACAAAGAAGCTGTGTCGCATAATTTCTTTAGCATCATCTGGTCCTCCACCAAGACTATTGAGGAGAAGAGTATAAGCAATAAGAGTTCTTATTAGTAAAAAAAAAAAGAGGGGGAGGGGAGTACAGAGACCATGTGATCACTAAAATAATTAAAATTATTCCATGGAATAATTTAAGATTTAATGTAAGCCATTTAATAAATAAAAACACAACTTTCAAGTTGGGGAATTTGTTTTTAAAAATAAACAATGCATATATAATTATATGCCTTCCTTAATATAATTTGGAGCTCATGTACTTTCACTTGCTTTTATTAAAATTTGCTATGCAAATTAATTGGATTGAAAATACAGGAATGCTCATACAGATTTTAATCTTAAAGCGATAAAATTTCCTAGAATATGTAAAGTGAATTTTGCATTAGAGTTATCTGCACTTTCTGTTCCTTTTTCTTCAACTGGCACCCCACATATGTGGTAGAGCCAATCTGTTGATGTTATGATGTTTTTATCCTAGGTCTTTTTATTCTGTATAACTTGTTTTATTTTTTGTAAATTACTCAGCATCATGTATATGAGATTGGCAGCTATCAATCAATCAAATAAATAATATCTGAAAGTCTTATAAGATAAAAGAGACAATTCAGAAAACTGAGATCCCAGTAAGTATACCTTAGTGCCTCTATCACTCATACAGTTTATGAATACAACTTGAACAAATTTCTAATCTTCAGAAAGTGACATTTTACTATGGTAATTAAAATACTGGAAAGTCCAGTACTGACTAAGCACCATTTTAGTTCATAAGAGATATTACCTCTTTAGTTATAAACTTTGCCGCTTCTGATCCTACAAAAAGTCAATATAGTTGAGTAGAATATAGTTCAATAGAGAAATATTATCAGTTAATTCCTGTTCACTGTGAGGAAAAGGGCATCATGTTGCTTAAACAGGAATTTTCTAAAAAGCAATTCTCATTTTATTCTTTTTCATTCCCTTGTATATTTTATATTGTATATATTTTTAATACCAAAATATATCTTTAATCTTACCGTTTATTTGGATCTTTTATCAGGAGACCTGAAAGCAATGATTTTGCATCAGATGAGAGAGTTCGAGGAAATTTTATATCTTCCATTAGAATGAGTTCAAAAAGTTTTTCATGATCCTGGTTGTAGAATGGCAATCTGCCACACATCATTTCATACATAACAACTCCAAGGCCCCACCAATCCACTGCACGACCATAATCATTGTCTTCCAAAACCTAAAATAGCAATATCAAGGCATTAACACATAGACAGATATATTTACCTGATGAACAGATTACTTTTGAAATAATTACCCTTTAAAAGAGAGTGTTGTCATAATTTTCTAAGGAAAAGGGAAGTATTATATTTAGTCTTTGTTTAAACAAGGCAGCATCTTCATTTCAAGGTCATTATCCTTCTAGGTAAACACAGATGTACATGATTTAAAAGCTAACTTTTGAGCATCTGTTTTTATGTGCCTTGAGCTCTACTGTTTTATCTATTAAAATAAAGGATTCAATTCAGTGTAACGGATCACAGTCCTGGTCATAAAGTACTTCATTTTTCATCTTCCACTACAGAAGCACTGATGTAGGTCCAATAGTTCTGGAGATACCGCAAGGAGTACAGTATCTCCTGCTCGCTATGCTATGACATTGTTATGACAAAAATTAATACTCTGAGGCAGTGTTTCTCAACCTTTGAAACTTTTAAGCTCTGCGTAGACTTCAACTCCTGGAATTTTTCAGCCAGCATGCTGGCTGAGGGATTTAAAGAATTGGTGACCACACAGTTTAAGTTGCTAAGGTAAAGAAACACAGCTCTAAAAAATTGAACAACATATAAGACATAGGCTTGATTTATTGTATGCCATTCAATTAACAGTGGAATGCAGCATATAGAGCATTATTTTCTATTATTCATCAAAAGAATTCTGTGAGGAAGCTTGGAGAGTGACTGGACAAAGCCATCCACTGAACTTCCTGAGCCAAAGGTAGACTACAACTAGGTTATCCAAAAGCTTAACCACTACATGACATTATTTTTTTAATTATTATGGCCAGTTGTATCATCAGCCAGATGTTTAGACTGGATCTGGCATTTTTATCCACCTATCGAGTTCTTCCGAAGAATCTGGGATAGAGAAATGTTGGTATTTGTAAATTTGTTACATCATTACAGGATGTAAACTGTACCAAGTAGCATTCTATAATTGAGTGATTGTAATTCTTTCAATGTCAACAGTCTTCAAGCAGTATGCCAGATTTTGGGGATTGCACCCAAAGCACCTTTTCCTATTGATACTAACTTTGTTCTCTTCTGCCACTGCCGTTTACTTCTATTTGCAGGTCTTTGTATTTTGTGATTTTCTCCAATTCTTTCTCTTCTATTCTGCTGTCTTCAGGCACTGCAACATCCACTATCCAGATATGTTTGTCTTTCTTATGAATAATTGTTAACTCTTGAGTATTATGTAGCAGGTGCTTATGATTGGTTGCATATTCAGGTAGTTGTTTAGGCTGGATTTTGCCTTATTGAGTCTTTTCCAAACCCTTGGGATAGATAAATGTTGTTATTTAATGATATTAAATATATTGTTGCAGGATGTAAGCTATATCAAGTAAAATAGCTTTTTACAATTGACGTGGTGATTTTATCAATGCCAATAGTGTTCAAGTGGTGCTCTAGATGTCTTGGCATTCTATTCAAGGCTAAATTTGTTTAATTTTATTTAATACCAATTTTGTTTTCTTTTGCCACAGTATTGCAATTTCCATTATCTAGACTTCTTTTAAATCTTTCTTATGAATAATTATTAAATCTGGGTTGTTATGTGGTAAGCACTTTAGCGTCTTCGTTTTCTATTACTTTGTCTGTTTTGTGGTCTCACTAGTTCTTGCTTGCAGGCAAGTGGTATTTCTTGCAGATATTCCAATGCACCATTATTGGTACTTTGTCATGCCATTGCTGTTGTTGCTCGTTGTTATAGTTAGGACTGCTGGAACAAAGAAAATATTCCTATTTTTTTTCCAGTACCATATAATATGATACAATTGTATACATCATTGCATAAGAACTCCTTTCATTGTTAAGGTACACCTGTAAATTTATTTAATGGCATTAAGATGAAAAAAAAAGTATTTCTTCATATAAAAGGATGATGCCTATAAAACTGAATCAAGTCCTACTTCTAGCTAAATAAATAAATAATAAGTAAAGAGTTTACTTATATAGAAATAAAAGCAATATTTTAGAGCTTTTCTGCTTGTTTAATAATCATTGTAATAAAATTCTACTTTTCAATGATGAAAATAATAGACAGTAATGGAAAACCACTGTCATGCATTAAATTATACTTGACCAGTAAGTCACTAACACCTATCAGTTAGTGCACAGGTGTCAAATTTGCCGCATCGTATTGCTATCACGTGACGTATCATGTTCCCCTTTGTGGAGCTGGGGTGGGTATGGCTTGCGAATGGCCCATCCGACCCATGAGCCGCCAGTTTGCATCCTTGAGTTAGTGTATTAACACTATATAAACTACCTTGAGACTACTGCATTTAATTGACATTAAATTGATTAAATAAAATTTAATTGATCATATAAAAATGACTTAAACTATTTTAGTTTATACATGAATAAAAATGTTAGAGTGATTAAAAGTAAACTTTGTTATTGTTACATAACTCACATATCTATTGTAACATATTTAGAATGGGGGTCCCTTTTGCATTAAAAGCAGGGAAATATACCTGGCAATATATGAAGTGTCTGAGGCTTTTTTAAAAAAAAGTATAAATAATAAAACCTAATATTTACTTTGGAGGCATCACCAATAAAATATCTAGTGAAACAGATCTAGAAACTTTTGAATAATTTAGAGAAAACATGACATTTCAATTCAACCTTACCATAGCAAGGTGGGATTTATCAGTTGTTATAATAAAAATATTTCCTATATATTAGGATACTTCAATATATTTCAGAGATGTAAAAACAACAATCATGGTTTCCAGTTATTAGATTATGTGATTGCCTTAATTTAAAACATGATTTTACTCTTATAATGTCTTGCAACAGAAAGAACTATTTTAAATGCAGTTTAATTTGTTTTCAAGACAAATTAAACTACAACATTATGTTTCTCTTTTCCAATTTATTCATCTTGATTTTTACTATGAATGTTATGTTTCATATCACTGAGCATTAGTGAGCTTATTTTGGACAGTGTTAAATCACAACTGAGAAACAGTTCATTGTGGTGGTTAAGGCATCAGGCTAGAAACCAGGAAACCGTGAGTTCTTGACCTGCCTAAGGCACAAAGCCAGCTGACAACTTTGGATCAGTCACTTTCTTTCAGCCTCAGGAAGGAAATAATGGCAAAGCTCTTCTGAAAAACTACAAGTCGAGGCCATCTCCAAGAACAGGACATGGTTCCACAATTGAACACACAAACTTGAGCTCAAGCATAATTGTACTTCTGATGGGGGAAACAAGTTCTAAAGCTTTTATTTCTGTAAACAATTTTAACACAAACAGACATATGGATACAAGTGCACTATTTTGAAATGTGACTGTATCCCAAGTCTCCAAATTGCAATTGGCAACTGTTGAATTAACTTTGGGACATTACTAATAGCATTTAGCATAGCATTTTAGGCTTATATGCTGTTGCATAGCACTTTACAGAACTCTCTGGGAGGTTTACAATGTCGAAGCATTATTTGCATATTGCCCCCAACAATCTAGATCCTCATCTTACCGACCTGGAAGGACAGAAAGCTAAGATAACCTTGGCCCAGTCAACAGCCAAAGCAGTGAGCAGTTTGGCTGCAATCCTGAACTTGTAACCATTGCTCCACCAGGATTCTAATGAAACTAACCTGTCAAAATATTATTGTGGAGAAGGTATATGTGTCTATCCATCTATCCCTCCTTATTTTTTTTTACTTTAATAAAGTATTATTGTAAAATACTTCATGTGATTAATTAGGAATGTCTTTATGTTTTAAAATAAATTTCTCTGAATGATCATTGACTACATTGCACAGCCTTGACTACTATTTAAAAAAATATCAAGGGAGGAGGTGAACTCCTTTCATTGATTGTGCTCAAGTAGAGGCTGATAGCCATCGGTCAGACATGCTTAATTTAGAGTCCTATACTGAGCAGGAGACTGGACTTGATGGCCTAAATGGCCCTTTCCAATTATGCAAAAAACCCTTTTCATAATGGACATAGGCTGTTTTAAAAAATTATGAGATTACTAAGAGAACATGAATAGGTTTATGCACATATTTAAACATAAAACTGGGCAGCTATTTTAAATCCAGCTTTGAAGTATTATAAAAACTGTTCTTCAGGAAAACTGAAAAATAAAAATTACTTTCTGAGAGACTCCACCCACTCCAGCTAAATATTATTTTATGGCACAATGATATGAAAATATACTCAAAAGTTAATTGTTACTAAGTAATGAGTTCTTACTTTCAAGAATGTTTGCATACAAATACATTCTTTTATGTCAGGCTTTAATACGAATAAGATATTGAATATTATGAATATTGACAGTGAAACACATTTAATCAAAATTACCACAATAGGAAAACAATTACCAATCAATTGTTCTGTAGATTCTTACTTGGCATTCAAATACTTTTTTTTATTTTTACACTATTACAAAAGTACATTTTCTAGGATTCCAAAACCACCTTATTCAACCTTCCCCATCTGTCACCATCTGCTTCTTTTTAGCATGTACTTTTTGTGTGATCACATAAGCATGTGAAAAATAACTAATATTCATATGATTATGTTCATGCATTTGAGGACTGGACATAATGAAGCTGAAATGCCAAAAATGTACTTAACACTTCAAGTGTTGTTTTATCTTTATGTGATCAACATTTTGTTTTAAAATGGTTGTACATTTAGAGGGATGAATACCCGTAACTAATGCTAATTCAACAGAAATGCAGCCACTGCAAGAAAACAGCACAATAATTTACTATGCTTTCAGTGTAAATAAGGTTATTTTTTTTCATAGTGCTCACAGAATTCACTGATAGAACAGAAATTCTGTAACTGGCTAGCTCGTCAATGAAGATTCGTTAGAAAATCCCAAATTATCACTAATTTTGATATGCAAGAAGAAATACAATAGTTCAGCTGGGGAAACTTCTAGGGGAAAAAAGGTGAACTGAAGATGGTTCTGCTAAAAGTGGATCTAAA